AAAAACAAGCACGTATACTTAAGATAAACTTAAAATGAATCTTATTACAATAGTCGTAAATATTTGAATAGAAATTTATAGTGCACTTATAATTTGGCTACATGACCAAAGACTTTATCTTTATGGGACTGTAAAAGAGATCTTATATTATGAGCCGTAAAGCTCTTTTAATAGGTCACCGAAAAATATTGTTTTGGGTATTCATGACTTCGGTCTTATCAACTTGTGAATATATAAAAGCATCTTATTTTTAAACACTTAAAGTTCAAAATTACGGTTATATAAAAAAAGGTGTCTATTTAATATGGTTTTGTTTTGCTAACGGTACGTGTTACCACATTATGTGTATGATCGATGTGGACATTTGTAGCTGCTCTGTGGTTAGGTTCTTTTATAATTATTGCATGATACATGTGGTGGTTTATGTGTGACTCTGATAGTAGCTCGATATGATAAAGGTCGGTCATAAGATGGGTGCCCGAAAATTTAATACTTCGAGTTACTCTGTTTTGGGTACTTTAAGCCGTTGGTCCAATCTACATCTAGCAATCCGCACTGTGCGTGATGGGTTATAGTTCCAACTATTTGATACCATCTACATCGAAGATCTATGTCCCAGTATACCAGTCTAACCAAATCGTTACAATTCTAAGCTGTCATTTATTTCCAAATTTTATAGAAAATTCGTTTCGTTCGTTGATCTGCTACCAGCTTCAAGCAAGCCTAAGACACAGGATGACAGAAGCTAAGAGCTTTTTATACAGTGATAATAGACAATATTACCTACCCGTAATATCTGACTAGTTAAATCTAAAACAGATTTAACTATCGGCAACGATTTCACATCCAAATATTCAGATCGATGTCGAACTAATCTCAGCTACAGTAACTCAACGCTCAATCAAATATATCTTACGTCTAAATGTAATAAAGGTTTTGTTAAATTGAAGCTCTATGGTGTGAGAGCGCTGTGCTCCAAGTAAAGTTCTAGGCTAATTTTATATAAAAAAAATAAATGGATTTTATATATTACTCCGGAAATCGAGGAAACTAAAATATAGACATTCAATTAAAGTTAGCACATCAACAAAGTGTGTTAACAATAAAAAGTATTAAAGTCGAAAACCTTCGAACGTCGTGCCACTATTTACCTAAAAAAGGTATTATGTTAATTTTTTGATAATGATTCTTATTACGTATAATAAATATAACGTTGTTATAAACGAACTTGGATAAATTAATATCTGAAATGTCGCAGTATAACCACATGTATAAAATACATATTTTATATTAGCGCTCCGCACTTATATCCATTGTTATGTAGTTGATTGTACTTTTTGTTTGAGTCTATGTACTAGTATACCATTTATACAGTGATTATTTTGAAATATGTAATACACAAATTGAGCAGTTTTTTTTTCGATTTTGTAATAATTTCATAAAAGGAAAATAAATAAATACTTTTAAAAAATGACGCACATAATAATACAGTTATTCTAAAAAGACCGTTCAAAAGCAATAAAATGAAAATATTTATTACCCTAAAATATAGCTAAATGCAACAGAATAAGCCAAAAAGGTTCCAACAGAACAACAAAACGTCGTAAGTATAAAAAAAAATAAAAAAGATCGTCACGAACATAGGCGAGGGAGAGCGCAGGAGAAAAAAAAACAAGTCCAACGTTTATTTTCGTTGCGTCCTTTTCGCGCGCATATCGTTTTCGTGTTATCTGTCTCTTTTCAACCGACCGAACGCTGGACACCTGTGCTTCAGTTTCCACAGGGTACCAACGACCTCTTGTTCATCATGTACAAAAAGGTCGTAAGTTTTAAAAACTTTTTCTTCGATTCTTACCTTACCGTCGGTACATTTGTGACACAATCTTCTGTAGCACTTTGATAATTATAGATGTGTTATTTTTCAACGTAAAGCAATCATTGTCGTATACGGATTTGATTCGTTCGAAAGCTTAGTTTTTTTATGTTTTTTTTTTTAATATAATACGTAAACTAATGCATTGTAATAATAATATGAACACCTGTTCAATAGCAAATGCATTGTTAGAATCCATAAAGGTGAGGTAAATTAGGGATTAAATGTTGATGTGCCTTGCTGAATTACGCTTTTGTCATGACAAAAGTAGGCCACTGCCTGATGATAATACTTTTCAAAGCTATTTTTGTTTTATTAATGCAAACAAACAAGATGAGTTTATTTTAGTATGTAATAAAAAACTACTTTACTCGTAGCTAATTTATGATATGATGAATACAACATTTGAATAATTAAGTGTCTATTTGTATGCTGTATGATATCATTGTTGTAGTTTAGTAGTTAGAGGTTTACACTTTTTTGTAATGTTATTTAAGTCTTACTTTGGTATTGAGCTTTTTGTCGACATATTTTGAAAAATCTGCACTTTAGTTAGTTGTGATGGTAAGTGACTTCATACCCTATGAAGTAATTTTTCAATTTAACTTCTCTGTATGATATAAAAATGTATGAGGAAGAATACAGCCTTTGCTGTTTTTTTTTTCTTCAGTACAGGGCTCGCACCGTAGACTTGCCAACACAAGTGTGTGACTAGACTGGTTAAATGTCATTTAATTTGAGTTCGATTAATGGGTAATAATTTGTTAATGATTTGTTATTTTTAATTTAGAATATTTTATTAAGAACTTTATAATTTCATGATTATTTAATTAACGATCGAATATACCCCTATGAGATAATAATTAGTTACTGCATTCGATTGCAATGGTTATTGAGGGGTTAAAAATGTTCGCAAATGTTCATCATCGGCTGTGTGATCGTTATTGTTTCAAGCATTGTACTTCAAAACCCAGGGGGCTAATTCTACTAAATAAAATTTTACAAATCCAGTTCTATTTTAGCTGGTATTGTATCGTATGTCACTTAGTAGAATAGAACCATTAAAACTGTGCTTTCGTTCGGTTTAGATCCGTTTTCGACTCGATTTAAACAAAATTTATTTTGTAGAATTTAGTTCAGGCATTGGTTAAGGTCTCACTAATTTGCCGTAGGTCCGCGCGATATCTTGTCCATTCCTTATATTTATCATTGGTAAGGGATTTATCCTTGCAATGATGGTGTATGGTAATATTTAATTGTTTGCTCTAGTAGGAGAATACGTTACATTCTAATTAAAGAATAATCAATCGACATCCAATCGAGCGAAATGTATTCCTACATTAATATGGAGCAAGGTTAAATATTGTGTTATTGAAACCATATGATGCTAATTAGTTATTAGAAACATTCAACGAGTACAACATTGGATTGTTAGTTTATCGTTGCACCAATACGGGAATAGAACGGGCTCATTGTGATCCCGTCATCTGGTATAAGTTGACTACTTAATTTGTGATGTCGACCTTTAACTGTAAAATTATTATTCGTATTCAGCAAATTCTATACCCATATAGTACCTGCAACGTCCGGACATGTGCAAGCTGCAAAAAATCTTGTTACTTCCACCTAACCTCACTCCATATGTGCTAACCTTTCTACGTACATTTTACATATACATACACACACTTACACACGCACACATACAAACATAACACATATACACACAAATAATACAACATAACAAATTTCAATTGTACCTACTCTGCACAAACAAATAAAATGTTCCACTCACCGGCACAATCGAAAAGACCTGAGAATAAGGACCCCACACCAGTGCTTTCGCCAAGGCGAAGCATACCCAAGGTAGAAGAATTAAAAGATAGGAAAAAAGAGAAGAGTGCAATGGAAACACCAAAAGTGGCTACATTAGCACATACACAGGAGTGGGAAGAGGACATGGAGCGATTGTACGTGGAACTCCCCGCTACTACGGAAAAGCTTCAAAAAGCAATAGAGGCCTTGGAAACCCAAAACCCACTAAGGAAAGAAATGAGGGACAAAATACTTAACGGACTAAAAAAGGGAATAGAAAGAATGAGGAAGCATGAAAGAACAATAGAGAAGATGAGAGAATTTACAGAACAACAGGAGATGAGAGTAAGAACGTATGAAAGAGAAATAAGTGAAAAAGAAAAAGAGGTAAAAATGATAGGAAGAATGAATGAGATGGAAAAAAAGATAATGAATAAGAATGAAGAAATGGAAGAGATGATGAAAGAAGTGAATAGAAGAATGTAAGAAAATATGAATGTACTAAACGAAAGGATAGGGAAAGAGCATAAAGATAAGAGAGAAAGAGATAGAATGATTGAGTTATTACAGCAACATGAAAATTTAAATAAAGAACAATACATAAAAGGAATGGAGAAAATAGAAGAAAAATTAGAAGGGTTAGAGGTAGCTATAGGAGGAATAAAAGGAAGAAGTATGAAAGGAGAAAGCAAAGAAAAGGAAAAAACATCTAAGACAGAAATAGTGAAAGGAGAAACAAAAGGAGATAATATGACAGAAGAGATAAGAAAGAGCTTAGAAAGAATAGAAGGAAAAATAAGAGATATGGAAGTAAAATTACCGGAGGAAGTGGCGAGGGACGTCATGGAGTATATAAATACCGATGAAACCCGAGATAGGGAAACCCTCGCCACAATCATCGTAAATAGAGTAGATGAAACTGAAAGAAAGGTGATCACGCAAATGGAGATGCGACTGGGAAGTATGGATGGAAAAATGACCAAAATACTGAATATACTGGAGACAATGAACTCACAGGTGCTAGCCTCGGTCATTAGTAAGCTAGATACGGTCGAGGACAACCTTACAGCGGAAGTCATCGACCTGGAAAGGAAGATTGGAGTAAGAATGGGAGAAAGTAAGAAAGTAGGAAGAGTAAGAGGAATGGAAGGAGGGGATGAACTAGGGAAAATGATAAAGGATAGGATAAGTATGTATGAAGAAAGTATGGTACAGGAGATAAAAGAAGTAGGAATGAATGTAAGGAAAGGACAGCTAGAGATAATAAAAAGATAGATGAAAGAAAGGAGAAAGAAAGAGGGAAAACACAGGATGGGGAAAAAGAGAGAAAGAGGAGAATGCTCCTCTACTCGAGCGACTGAAAACCCTTGAGGGAAATCTGGAAGGAAAAATAAGCGGAGAAGCGGAAGAAATTGGAAGGAACATAAAAGAGAAAGCAGGAGAACTGAAGGAAGAAATAAAATCAATAAATATAGGAAACCTACCCGCAACTTATGCTGAAACAATAAAGAAAAAGAAAACACAAATTCCTGCCACCCTGCACTCAATAGTTGTCTCATCAGACGAACAAATGGATACAAGCGAAGACGTTATCAAGAAAACGGAAGAAATATTAAAACCTAACAATGGAGACCTAAAGATTGATAGGGTTAGAAAAATAAAAGATCAAAAGATAATTATTGGATGTAGCAACAAAGAAGAACTGGAAAAGGTGGAGGAAAGACTAAGGAAGAGTAGGAATATCAGAATAGAGGCGGTAAAAAACAAAGACCCATTAATATTAATCAAGGATGTTAAGTATAAAATGACGGATGATGAGTTAATGGAAGCACTAATTAAACAAAACTCCGAGCTCTTCCAACAAGAAAATAAAAAAGAGGATGTAAAAATAAAATATAGACGCAGAGCGAAACATCCCGAAAGATGTCATCTGATTGTACAAGTCAAACCTAACACCTGGAACAGAACAACAACACGGGGACGAATATATATTGGAATGGAGCGTTTAAAGGTTGAGGACCAATCGCCTTTAATACAGTGCACACGATGTCTCCAGTTCGGACATGGACGGAAATTTTGTACAGAAAGTGCGGATAGATGCAGCCACTGCGGGGGACTCCACATCCGAGCAGACTGCCCGGATAAAGGGGAACCACCGAGGTGCTGCAACTGTGCGCACGCCGAACTGGAAGACATCGAGCACAACGCGTTTAGCCGGGAATGTAAAATCAGAGACAAATGGGACTATCTCGCTCGATCAACAACGGCCTATACATAAAACAAAAATAGTACAAAATAACGAATACATTACAAACAAAAAACAAAACATAAAAACAAAACAGAAATACAACACACAAAAACACAACCACAACACATGCAAAAAGAACATAATATTCTGGGGAAACATCATGAAAGATGCAAGACCAGAATACCAAAACATTCTAACAGAACAAAACATACACAAACAAATAGAACAAACAATACATACAAATAAAAAGGAACATACACAAATAAAACACAAAGAACAAAGTACAATTATTCAGAAAAGTATAATGAATATAACAAATCTGAATAACAAAAAAGACTAAAAAAGGAATATATAAAATAAGCAAGGAAAAGTTAGTACACAAAAGCATATGATTAGCATATGCTGAAGTGACCAAGGAAAACGATAGAATAAAAACAATAAAAAGAAAAGAATAGGACTAGACTAAGAAAATTGATAATAAATAGAAATTAGAATAAAAAGAGAATATAGAAAACAAATAGACATTAAGTATGTATAGGACAAATAATATCAACTAGAATAAAGACCAAAAAGGGGATAGAATAACTAGAAATAAAAAACAATGTAAAATAGAAAATAAGTTAGAACAAAGATATATAAGTTGGAACAAATGTATCAATATTACAAAAGAAAATGTAATAAATACAAAATACTGACAATGATGTAACAAGAATGTAAATAGAATAGTAAATAAAAATAGAAGTAAGATTAAGAATATATGTAAAAAGATGAAAATAGAAAACACTAAGAAAATGTAAGAACAAGATCCTAACAAAGGAAATATAATAGATATATTTTAGTTAAGTAAAGAAAAGAAATATATATATATAAGAAAATAACCACATGTAATTAGAATAAGATATGAATGTACAGAGAAAAAAATAAAGAATATATATGTCCATTATTTAATAAAAATAATAAAAGCAAAGAAAATATTAGCTAGGTAGAGATAGATGCGACAATCCCAATCGCTCGAAGAATGAAAGAGAATAGAATGAAAGAAAGATCAGGAATGCGGAATGAAAGGTGTAAACAAGCGAGAACTGGAATGCAAGAGAAACAGAAAAATAAAGGCCTGCTACAAAGTGGGGTGCAGATAGGAAGCTCGGCCAAAAATGTAAGGCCGGGCATATAAAAAAAAAAAACCTTTCTACGAAGTATTCTTAGTTGTTAAACTTTGCAGTGACATCCACCGAGTGACTAAAATTTGCTAAATATGATAGTTTTAACTATAGTTATTGTAATGGACTTACTCAAATGTTTATTGCACATCTATACTTATGGCAATATTATATATTTAAAAAAATATAATTATTATCGCTATAAAATATTCTAGCAAAAAAATGTCATGATTATGTATTTCACTAAATCGAACAGTTCAGAACTACGAATTTTATGATTACCCAATCATCTATGCAAATTGTTATTTATTTTAGAAGCGTTATTTTAATGTACATATTTAATTTTTCAATTACTGGATTTTTTATATTAATCTCTTTTCACTCTACAGTTAGATGTAGTACTTCCATTTATAGTCTCTTGTGATGTGTTTGAAACGACTGAGCAATAACAAATCAGTGACAAAAGGGTAACAAAACAGTATTGCCAGTTGCTGAGTGACGCTGCCTGCTAATGCGTTCTCGTTTTGACACAAACGCTGAAATTGATTTATTGTTTCGACTTTATGCATCACACCTCCTATTTTAGTTAGTCTAAACAATTTCTATACCCTTAGTTTTTGCACTCGCTATGCAAAATATACAATTATTTTATTTCGTTTAAACAGTGTAAAAATATTTAAGTGTTTCAATTCCATTGATCCTTACTTAAATCAAACTAAATTTTTATTTAAATAATACTTGGAACTTTATTAAATTTAATATAAAATTTTAGATCTGGATACGCTACAATAAGAAGACCCAATACAGTTTAGAAACTTTTATTTTACGGAGAATCGAAACTTATACCTTGAAACCGACGTGAAAGCCACTCGGCCGCAAAGGTCGCCGTTAATTATTATAATATGATCTTTCGATAAACATAAAATAGTTTTTATTTAGTTCGTTATTCAGAAATCACTCTCTGATATATAATACCTAGAACAACTAGTATCATATCTTTGTAAAAAAAAAACAACTAATGTAACCTGATACCTTAAAATATATATTTTAATATTCAACCGGCAAGGAGATATTATAAAAAGGTATCCCCAGAAGCTTCCGAATATAAAATGAGTTTTTTGTCCGTCCGTTTAATATATTACATTGATTGGTGTGAATGATAAATGGTGGTGTCTTCAATAATATATGAACGTTGACGGGAGAAGTGTTAAGTCTAATTGATTGTATTCTAAAAAGATTTTTTTGAGGTGGTATCATTTAACCGATTCACTGTATGAATAGAGATATGTAATGAAGCCTAGTCGTAAGGACTGGTATTGAATGTCATTAGAATTTCAATAGAAAAAGGTTTTAGATTGCTTCTTTTTTGTATAAAATATATCGTATTTTTAATACGTATGTTATCAAAATACTATTGGTGAAGAAAATGGCGACGTAAATGTTTTTTATAATTATATTTAATATACAAATAATATAGGAAAGTACGTGAAATTGTATTAACAATAATTTTGACGAAATCCAAAGACATGGTTTTAAACATATTTCCGGAAAACATCTTGTTTTCATCTCTTAACACTTCTAAAGCACAAGCATTTTTATGGATGGAATTAAATAAAGAGATAACACACTACGCGAGCCATTACACACTACTGTACTACACGCTCAGTGCGAATTGGTAGCGTTTAAAGACATAGCTTGACGTGACTTCTAAAGCACGGACGAGCTAGAGATATTATTATTTTGGTAACACATCCTAGGACCGGAGCAGATCGAACTTGCCAACTACGGAGCTATCGAGATCCTCGTACGTATTATTCTAAAGTAAACAAAACTTATTTGTATAGGAGCTAAAAGCTTATACAAAATTAAACAATATGTTCATATAGTTGATTTTAAAAAGCCGATATGAATTATTGTTTTCTGAAAAATATACACGCCCCGTTTTTCTAAAAACGTAACTTACACCATTTTAACCCTGAGGCATTATCAACCACTCAAACCTTCGATCGTAAGATCAGGCTCCTGATACGTGTAACATTATTTATATAGTATTAAAGCGGTGCTACCGAGAGTTGATTGACCTCTGTGACCGGCGCGGGCGCACGATTTTTTGTAAACCCATTGTAGGGTCATGGCATTCAGTTTTTTGACGTTTAGCCAGACTGACTGGCGGGTGACATGGTGTTAGAGATCACTTTATTTATTTATTTTTTAACAGAACTCATAAAAACTTTAATAAAATCGAAAAATAAATTTTACATCCAAATGTCGTAGGATCATGTTTTGAAATCGAACAGTTTCAATGTTACCGATGTGATTTTGTATTGATTACTGTTGTGTCTATATGTTTTGGGACATTATCGATGTTATTTAATAGTCATAGTTATATATTTTAGCAGTTTTATTGAAATTCTTTCAATTACTTATTTTTAGTGCCTAGGAAAATTATTATTGTATTCAAAGTTAAAATATTTCCTTTACTTATGTATTGCACGGTTTTTATTGGTAATAATTTTATAAAGTATAAATAAATATAAGAAGAATTCAATGTCAGATACTGTTTCAAGTAACTTGTGCCTGTTTACGCACTATAAATTATAAGAAAACAAAAAATATTAAAATTGTAAAATTTTAAGTTTATAGTATTGGAAAATCGCCTCTGTTTATTTTAAAAATACAGTTGACACATTATTAAATTCTTATGACTTATATTTAAATATCACTACGTGTTAAATTTAAAAATATAACCGATCGGTGAAATGAAACATCATTATCCCTTCATAAACAATATTCAAAAGCCGATGAAAACGTTTAAATGAAATGACCGAGTTTGTTTTGTGTTAATAAGAGTAAAACGTAAATAAGTACGCTCTGAAATTAAAGCAGAGAGTGCAGTACGCTCTTGCGAATAAGTTGATTGATAAGTTATAGCCTGTAGCGATTTTATATTTACATGACTTGAAACATAAGACGTAAACGTAGAAAGATAAAATTTGGAATGGAGATTCCTTAAGGAGTGTAGAGGAGCACTTAGAGAGGATTTTTGAAAATTCCACCACGAAGGGGCTGAATTAGAGGATGAAAGTTTGTATGAAACTTCGTTACTTTAAGTGCTAGGAGTTTCAAATTTTGAATGCGGGTTTTTTTAGACATAGGTACTCACTAAGATGGGATATTATGAAATTCGATCCCTAAGGGGATAAATTAGGGGATGAAATTTGTATGAAACATCATTACTAAAAGTGCTAGGAGTTTTAATTTTTTTGTATTTTTGCATGCGGCTTCTTTTTAATTTTATGAAATTTGGCCCCAAAGGAGGTTAATTAGAGGATGAAATTTTCTCATTTTTGGACTTAAAACTAGACTACGCGGGAAGAGACGCGGGCAAAGGCCAGTTAATTATAAAGAACAAAAATAATCTTAAAATATCAAATTAAAACAATTCTCCACCACCGTTATTTTTGTGATTATGCGATGACTGTAATTTACCATCTGTTCGTGGCGGGTCGCTTGTGTAAAACAAAAATAAGTATAAAACAATTAATAATTTAGTTTACAAATTGAAATCTTATTTGTTACATCGTCGATTTTGAATTTAGGAATAATTTACGCAAACTATCTACCTATCGATGTTGTCGATTAACTCTTATTGTTTATGCAACAACACTTCCATAGTCTTGACTGCAAAGAAAAACCATAAATATGTATTTTAAAACGGTAATTATAATGTCGCTCCTTACTTATCACTTGAACGTCGACATTTTGTTTTAACCGCGAGAAAAGAAACCAGTAGCGGCCAATTTGCAACCAATTTGGCAAAAAAAATGTTATGTTTTTAGCACCAACACTCTTTAATTAACATTTATAAGATTCGGAAGAATCAGAACATTGGCACACAACATAAAATAATGTTACTAATTCTTATGAATATTAAATATAATATAGGTATTTATAAGATAAAAATAAACACTTAATAAAGTACCCAACAATATTATAGACTAAATTTACGGCAAACTAGCTGTTTTCCCGTGACTTCACCCGCGTAAATAATACTCTATATTACCCGCGTATGATGTATGATTATTT